GCATATATCAAGACACATACAGCCTGTTCTTCTAAAATTTTCCATTGGAACTATGACCATTTGTTAATTTTTTCATATGCCGGGCCTTAAAATCTTAACAGTCAATTAGCCTGATACAATCTTTCCTTGTTTTGGCGCTGATCGAGATGCGATTTGAGTTTTAGATTCCACAATGATAATTTTTATCAAAATATCTTGTTTTCAAATTTTGTCAATCAATAAAAATTATATCAACAAGAAATTTGTATAAATATATGAGACATCCAAAGAAAAAATCAGTGTTATTCTAGAAGTGATTGTATTTGCATCCACTTGGTGCTAAAATATAAATAATTACTATGGCGCTCATGCACACTGCGGTTATCTGTAAGTAACATATAACATATTTTACGTAATATTTTTAATAATCGGATATTTTTGTGTAGTGGTCTTAGGACTGTCTGCAATTCTCGCAGAGGATTTGTTATGTCCAAAAATCTGTACTGCTGATTATACACCAGTATGCGCAACTGCCCCAGGAGAAGGTCTCCTAACATTTTCCAATGAATGCGTTTTGCGTAGCTACAACTGCCGCCAAAAGAAATGTGAGTAAATAAATAAAAATTGTGAAGAACACTGAATCTAATTAGTCTTTTCCGCAGCACTCAAAAAAATTAGTGACGGTGAATGTCCACAAATGACAAGGGAGACTGAAAAGTGCACCTCATTCTGTACTTTTGACTACAGACCTGTATGTGCAGCAGCCAACGGAGAAATCAGAACATTCGCTAATGAATGTATCCTTCGTAACTACAACTGTGAACAGCGCAAATGTAAGTACATTTAAGTCTTTGAGTATTGCCTCATTTGGTAAAAATATTTCATGTATATTTTATTTATTTTAGCACTCAAGAAGATTAGCGATGGAGAATGTCCACAAATTATCAGAAGCGACAAGGCATGCCAAGGAAACTGTCCTAAAATCTACAGACCAGTCTGTGCAGGAATGAACGGAGAATTCAAAACCTTCGACAACGAATGCATCTTACAAAACTATAACTGTGAACATCACTTGTGTAAGTATAAACAAAATTAGACTATTATAAACTCCTAAAAATTATATAACCCCGTATGGTACTTCTAGCCCTTCAGAAAGTCAGTGAAGGCGTTTGCCCTAAAATTCTAAGAACTAAAGGAAATTGTCAATCATTCTGCACACTCGAATACAGACCAGTTTGCGCGGCTGCATTTAATGGTGAAATAAGAACTTTTGCCAATGAATGCGCTTTAAGGAACTACAATTGCCAGCAAAGGAAATGTAAGAATATAGTATAATTCTCTAAAAAATTGCATGTTCTAAACAGTTTTTATTTGACTAGCCCTTAAGAAAGTTAGCGACGGGGAATGTCCTCAAATTACCAGAAGCGAAAAGAACTGCAACTTGAAATGTACCAAAGAATATATGCCAGTCTGTGCCGGAGTCAACGGGGAATTAAAAACTTTCAACAATGAATGCGTATTGCAAAGTTACAACTGTGTTAATAATAAATGTAGGTTTTCATAACTTGGTATATGCAACAAAAAATTTGATAAACCGTGTTCTTTTTATTTTATAAATGTACTAAATAAATCTTTTTTTTGGTTATAGCACTTAAGAAAATCAGCGAAGGTGAATGTCCTCAAATCATCAGAAACGAAAAGAACTGCAACTTGCAATGTACCAAGGAATACAGGCCAGTCTGTGCCGGAGTCAACGGTGAAGTGAAAACTTTCAGCAATGAATGCATTTTGCAGAGTTATAATTGCGTGAATAATAAATGTGAGTTAATAATATAATTTAATACATGCAACAAAAACTTTAAAGATACTACTTTTACTAATCAAATGTGGTTTTGCTTTAGCTCTTAAAAAGATCAGTGATGGAAAATGTCCAGAAATTGTAAGAAGTGAAAACAGTTGTCAATCATTCTGCACACTTGAATACAAACCAGTTTGCGCAGCAGCCGATGGAGAAATAAGAACTTTTGCCAACGAATGCGCTTTAAGAAACTACAACTGCCAGCAAAGAAAATGTAAGTATAAGTCGCGTAATACTTTTGCTCATTTTATTATTGTACTAAACAATAGTTACTCGACTTCAGCACTCAAAAAAATCAGTGAAGGTAAATGTCCCCAAATTACCAGAAACGAAAAGAACTGCAACTTGAAATGTACCAAGGAATACAGACCAGTCTGTGCCGGAGTCAACGGTGAAGTGAAAACTTTCAACAATGAATGCGTTTTGCAAAGTTACAACTGTGTTAATAATAAATGTAAGTTGAACCATTTAATGTGTGCAACAAAAAAGTAGAACTGCTTCCTAATTCATTATTTTATTTTAGCTCTTCAGAAAATTAGTGATGGCGAATGCCCCAAAATTTTAAGAAGTGAAGAAAACTGTCCAACAATGTGCACCTTGGAATACAGACCAGTTTGTGCAGCAGCCAACGGTGAAGTCAGAACTTTTGCCAACGAATGCGCTTTACGCAGTTACAACTGCCAACAACACAAAGGTAATTATAAAAGATCAATCTAGTAGATGCCTATTAATATTTTATGCATCTTATTTAAACTTATTTCATTTTTCAGCTTTGAGAATCATCAGCGAAGGAGCATGTCCCCAGATGAACAGACTCTAAGCAGCGCAATTCCAAAAAAAACATTATACGCTTTTAGAGATTATATAAATATATTGTACTCCTTACATATCAGTCATATTGTAAAATGTTTGACAATTTTATAAAATAAAGAAATATTGCATAAAGTAAAATTTGTTTAATTATAATTAATATATTTATTAATGTGAGTATTTCAGATATTTAGACTCGAAAGTGGGCAAAACTTACTAAATTTGAAAATTAGTTGATTAAGTACTGAATAAATGTATAAGCTTAAGTATTACTACCATTTTTCAGTATTTATAAATGTCTCAAAATTTAAAACTTTTGTATGGCACCTATTCTTATTTAAATACTTTCTATTATGATTTAAAAAAATTGATTAATATTCTTGGAGATTTACCATAATAATATTATTTAGTACTTAAAAAGTATTAACAGAGCCGTGTTTGTGATTAATATTTTTTTCAGAATTAATCTATTAATTTTTATTTATTTTAACAAATCCAAACTTTGGATAAAAAGTCTTATATTTAATTTTTAATGAATAGTGTAAAAGTATAAGAATATTATTTCTGGTATAAAATTATTTAAAAAACATAAGTCGCATTTTAAGTTTATGAACTATAACATAATTTGAAATTAAATTTAATAACCCAGTTTAATACAAAAATATCTGAAATATGTAAAATAAATATCATTTGTAACAATTATTATTAAGTAGTGCAATAATTGAGGAACTGAAAATGCAATGCAATCTCAAGTGGTTATTTAGATAAATAATATAAACAAATGATAGCGATTATAAAAGTAAAGTATGATCATAAGTAATAAATCTTCGTAAGTTAAACTAAATGAAAATTTTTAAAGAAGCAACAAATTTGAAGAGTCAGTAGGCAATAGTTATTTTATTTACATGATCACAAAAAACTATTAGTGATACAACAGAGATAACAGCCATGTTTAATTATAGTAATAACAATTGTATGTAAAAGTGTTTAATTAAAAAACGTATGTATCTTTAAGAATATTATATATTGTAAATCTTACTGCAATAAATATATTTTGAAAATGAACTTTGATATATTTTAGTTCTATGATTTTATCTTTTTTAATAACTCGTTTATCTGCTCTAGGTAACCGGAAAACATATCGTTCTATTCAAATATTATCAATCAATAGCCCAAAGATATTCGTAACAAAGTTCTTCGAAATATTTTCCATAGTTAATCAGCCACTGATTTCTACTTCAAAAATCATGTTTACGATCTCCTAATTAATTATCGCATAATTATCAAATCAGGTAAAAGATAATTGAAGTAAATAGTCTTATTTATTAAGTATACAGACATAACAATTATCTTATGTGCTAATTTGTTTACAACAATTTGTTGTAATTTAATTGATGTTTGCGACAACATGTACTTTAATTGCAAAGTCTGGGGTTCAAGTGACTTAATTATTTGTGGAAAACAACTAATTTTCAGAAATCTTAACTTTTTGGACTTATAAAAACCTTCAGTTAACCTAAGATAACCAGAAAGTTAAACCTTTTTTTATATAGGTATATTTTTATCCTGGTAACAAAATTATGTTATCTTGTTCACAAATGTAATAAATCATAACAAAAAGTATTGATTATTTAATAAAATAATGAAAATATTCAATAGGAGTCTAAAAAAATATATTATCTATGACTTGATTTCGACATTTTTCAAGTTAAGATTTTGACATATTACAATTCTTTTTTATAAAATAGCCTAAACGCCTAAGAAATGTTTACAATATTCTATGTACTGCAAATTTATGTGAATTGTATTCTAAGTCGGCAAATATCAATAATATAAATCCGTGGTTTTAAAAAATTTTGCTATATATTAAATGTTAATTTAAGATAATTTTTGAGGATAACATAAATTTTCGTATATCCCATTAAATAATTTAATAAATTCGTTATGAATATAACTCGACCAAGTTATTTGTTTAATTAACATATTTAATATATTTTGCAGACATCAACAAAACAAGTGTCTGCTAAATAATTCCCTTGACAACCAAAAACTATGAATGATAAACAATTATTATCACAGGTGGTAGATTGATATTAAAGCAATTAAGCACATAATTATTTACTATATAAAATTTAATGAGAATCAATCAATGAGTAAACAGTGTGATAACATCTTAGATATCAATTTTATTAAGCTATCTGAGAGAAATTTGTGTACTACATGATGTAATTTTTTACACTTTTGGTAACAGCTCATTTGTTATCGGAAGTTATCTTTGTGATTATAACCAGGTTGTCAACAAGTTAGTTGTATAAATATCAGCTTCTGATTGGAACTGAATCATTCTGATTCTCAGAGCTATCCCAGTTATTACCAAAAGTTGAAAATATTATAAATTGAAAACAATGACGTTTTTACGCATTGCAGCACTATGTAAGTACTAATTAATTTTGTTTATCACTAATTTGTTGTAACCATAATTTAATATTTTAGTGTGTTTGGCTTTTGCCGCATCGTTTGCCGAGGATCTGGCTTGTCCAGGAATCTGCACGGACGACTATAGACCAGTTTGTGCCACGGCACCAGGAGAACGTCTGATCACTTTCTCCAATGAATGCGAAATGAGAAACTTTAACTGCCACCAAAAGAAATGTAAGTTACCCAAAAATAATATGCAGAATAGCATTTTATAAATAATTGTTTGTTTTAGCTCTAAAGAAACTTAGTGATGGTAAATGTCCACAAATGACAAGGGAGACGGAAAAATGCAATTCATTCTGTACTTTTGACTACAGACCTGTATGTGCAGCAGCCGATGGTGAAATCAAAACATTTGCAAATGAATGTATTCTCAAAAACTACAACTGTCAAGAGCGCAAATGTGAGCATACTACAAATACATACTAATCAAGTAATTAATGTGCACCTTATTTAAATGGCTCTATTTTTATTCAGCTCTCAAGAAGGTCAGTGATGGTGAATGCCCTAAAATAACAAGAGAAGCTGAAAATGATTGCAACTCCTTCTGCACTTTGGAGTTTAATCCCGTATGTACCCAACAAAATGGAGAATTCAGAACTTTCGCAAATGAATGCGTCCTCCGTACCTTCAATTGCCAAAAACGTCAATGTATGTTCAACTTGTCATCATATTGTTTGTGATATATAATTTTTTCTTACAACTATATAAAACCTTAAAATTTTAGCATTCAAAGTTGTCAGCTCAGGAGTTTGTCCAGAAATTAAAAGGAAATCTGAACAAAAATGCGTATCATTCTGCACATTTGATTACAGGCCAGTTTGTGCTGGAGAAAGTGGAGAACTAAGAACATTTGCCAATGAATGCGCTTTAAGAAACTACAACTGCCAGCAAAGAAAATGTGAGCATAAGTCACATAATACTTTTGCTTATGTTATTATTGTACTAAATAATAGTTGCTTGACTTTAGCACTCAAAAAAATCAGTGATGGTGAATGTCCTCAAATTACCAGAAACGAAAAGAACTGCAACTTGAAATGTACCAAGGAATACAGACCAGTCTGTGCCGGAGTTAATGGTGAATTGAAAACTTTCAACAACGAATGCGTTTTGCAAAGTTACAATTGTGTAAATAATAAATGTGAGTTGAATCATTTAATGTGCAACAAAAAAGTAGAACTCCTTTCTAACTAAATGTGATATTATTTTAGCTCTTCAGAAAATCAGTGATGGCGAATGTCCCAAAATTGTAAGAAGTGAAGAAAACTGTCCAACCATGTGCACTTTGGATTACAGACCAGTTTGCGCAGCAGCCAACGGCGAAGTCAAAACTTTTGCTAATGAATGCGATTTACGCAGTTACAACTGCCAACAACACAAAGGTAAATACTCTTTTTAACACATAAATTAACAGAAAATCTTTTTAATCAATTCAATATAAAATAAAAATCTTGTTTTTCAGCTCTGCAAATCCTGAGCGAAGGAGAATGTCCACAACTGACAAGATTTTAGAATGAACTTGTTCGTGACCTGACTGATTAGTTTTAAGCTCTCTACTATTTTTATACTTCTTTTTTATTGAATTGTTAACTCGAAAGTTACAAGTTATCCAAACTATTGTTTGGAATTTATAATAATCAAATATTGTTTTAAAATTTTGTTACAGGGGTGTGTCAGCCCTTATTTGTAAAATAGGAACATATTGTAAATAATAAAAATAAATAAAAAAATATATATAAAATTAGCAACGGCGCTTTTAACTCCAAATATATTTTACAGCATTCATACTTGGTATTTAATATTTCAGCAAGGTTATTGGACATATATGTTTCTAAATAAAATAAAATAAAATTTGATATCATAAATTGAAAATTAGAACATATGTTATTTAAGCACATTGTCTACTATTAGTTTTGTTATTAGTATCTATGTTTTTTTTTATTTTATTCGAATTTTTCCCTCGATGTTCTGTATCCATCACCATAGGAGCGCGAGCTCGTTACGAATGCGATATGCGGCTCAGGCGCGCCGTTAGATTTCATTTGTGATTTTGTGTCGGACTTGTTTTCCGGGTACCATTTGATAATTTGTGTGCTTTTTACGTAATAACGCTTTTTTGTTTCGTTGTAAAGAAATGGGCGAAGATGAAATATGGTCATGGTGAAAATATTATACATACAATGACTCCGGCGTAACATTTTCAACCAGGAACGACGGAACTTCCAAAGAAATCATTATAAATGAACAACGTGATAAAAGACGATGTGTATATTCTAATTATGTCGGGGATAATAGGATCCATACAAAGCAAAAAATAAATATATATAATGCTTTGTACAGCCATTAACTTCCAATAATTGGGCAAAACTTGATTTATTGGAACGTCTTTGCCATCATGAGCATGGGTTTACAACACCCATGTTTCCAATACAAGAAACTACAACAAACATGCTTTCTTCGTATCGTATCTTTGTCTTATTTATTACCTGACTCAGAACTACTTGCAATAAAATCATTAATTAGGACTACAATTTTCCCAAGAGCAAAATTTTAGATTACATCGATTGATGTATATAAAATAATATAGTATACATGTATTCGTCAAAATAAGGATTACTAATATATATTCCAAAGCGATTCCTTAATCGATAGTTGAGTACGATATGATAGATGGCATATTGAGGCATTTTTATATTCGCATTCCTTCGGCGGTTAATACTTATTTCGTTCCATCCATTGGAATTCAAGATCGATATCCATATAAATTCAATTCACAAAGAACTTTGCATAAGACATGATATATAATAATATAATATATGATACATAATCAAATGAATAGCTAGCTATCGGATAGAGAATTTCGAATACCGACTATAGGAATGCGCCAAAACTGCATACTAAAGAACTACAACTTGGGCAAATAATTTTTGTAAACTATGTAATATAATAGTTATAACAGTTAAAAATATTTTTTATAAAAAATATTTTTATTATTCAACGTAATTCTAAAGGATTATTATTTATCCTAAGCAGTACCTCATACTTGGATGTTGGGTGTATTTTCTTACAATTAGCACTTTTTTCAAAGAACGCTCTGGTATTGGAAAAGACTTTTATAACAAATAGATCAAGAACGAAAAAATTAATCTAATTTTTATAAAAAAATGAATGGACATATAAAAAAGTAAATTCAATTTTTATGTCAAGTTATTGTTCATTTCAAAAACCCATAAAATAAATTAAAGTCTACACAATCTGACATCAGAAACTAATATCTTCGTTTTTTTTTTCGTAGACCTTTATCATAAAGAAAAATAACCGAACGACAGTATTGATTCGTATCGACTGTTCGGGCGAAATATTTATTGAAGATTGAATGAATCATATAAGACTATTTAATTTGGGAAAAATATATATAAAATCTTATTCATTCGTTATATTTTTGTTGAAAAAAATACTCAATTTGCAAATTATTAAAGAAAAAATTAGAGCAACAAAGTTGTGCTCTAAAATAACATGTACTATTAAAATGTAGCAATTTCTAATGCATCTCGAAAATACGTAAATTTTTAATTTCATATATATATATATATATATATATGTATGTATTATATCAAGGATTAAACGGCTTCAGAATATTTACAGTGCATTTAATTAAAACATCAGAATACATAAAAAGCGCAAGCCACTTTTAATATATTTCGCTCAGTTTCTCCTTTAAAATACTTAATTATACATTTGCCAGGTAGGATTTAACTTGAGCTCATAACCAAAAAGAAAGGCAACAATATAACGAAAGACAAATATTAAGTGAAGAATAAAAGCTCTTTCATGTTTATAATTAGCATTAATTAATGAAAATCTGTGCATACAGATTTAATTCTTGCTTCTGTTTTCATTCACCGAGTTTTAAAACCTGAACTATGGGGAAGTTGAAATACTTATAAAAATTATTTTTTTTTTAATAGAATATAATAACGTGAATAAAACATGATAATTTAATTTGAGACTAATGTTATTTGATTCGATAAAATTAAACCTAATAGATAATGTTTTGGTACAAAATAGTAAAAAGCAGTGAAACAAAGAAGCAACGTGAATGATGAATTCAAAGTCAGGTGAAAATTTTGTAAATATTTAAGAAATTGTGTAAATATTTAAGAAATTGGATTTATTCGGAAAATTGATAGTGTTTCATCAACATTGCTATTTTAAACAAAAATTTCTATTGACAAAAAACATGAAATTTTCATAGAGTTGAGAATAGAGCAACAGATAGTTCTGCACCTAATTGTAGATGTATATGATAGTCCACCAAAATTTAAATAATTTCAATTTCTAGCATTTTTAAGTATGAAATCAAATCTTTGATCAATGTTGTGCCAGACTAATCGTTGACGTTACTGTTTATTCCTCGTTTTTTCGACTTTTTTCGAATTTTCCAGGAACTCGGCACGTACTCCCTCGCAACAGTTCTCATATTATTTACCTTTGGAGCGTTTTTCAAATTCCTTCGGCAAGGATATTTCGCACGTTTTCTCACAGTCGGTACAATCGCTGCAGCCAGTTTAAATATATATATATATATATATATATATATATATATATATATTATGAACACTGATGCAATTGACGCATGTGCTGAGCTTATTCAGCTTAAAATATGTATGCACGATGGTATTGCACTGCATACATTCTATTTCCATTCTGTTGAATTTGTAGGGCATTGGAAAATGTACTGTGAAACTTGCAATATCCGAAACCTATCAGACGAGTTGTATTCAATATAGGAATAGTATCTCTGCTTATTTGCCTCGGTATTTATGTGCACCTTTTCATACGAGAACTAAGATTCAAGATACGTGCACTTTGTGCTACCATATGGGGAAATATATACACATTGACATATACATATACATACATATACATATATACATATATATATATATATATATATTTATATCACTTTCCTCCTCCTAAGAATCCTCATATGATAGCACAACTACTTTTGGATACTACATTGGACACTACATTGGATCTTTTTTTTTCAAATTGATTTTTTTTTTAAATTGAAACTTTAATAACAAAAAACGAAACGTAATTACAAAAGTACAAAAAATATAACATCAAACAAAAGTATATTTTTTTAGTTTTTTATAATTGGTCTAAGACACCTTTATCAAGATGGGACAAAAGACAGAAAGCAAGACTGGATTATTAGATATTTTCGCAATTACCAACTATGTGAATATTAAAATCATTAGGTATAATTTCATTTATAAAATTTCATTTATCCTTTACCGTGAAAGCGAAACCATTGCCAATTGCCTCCGAATCAATGGTCGAGGATGCCAATCTCGATTCCAGATGGAACTGAACGTTTATCGCCATCAGATGGTCCTTGATCACTAATTATTTGTTAGTTATCCAGAAATGGCACACTACTCTAATCGATAGAGTTACCGATATATCGAAGGTATTAATTAATTTCCATTGTGATTAAACTGTGTCAAATGCCGAGAGTTTCATAGTTAGTAAATTAATCGACAACCTTGTTTGGATTGGATATTTAGATATGCATTAGGCAGATGTATGGGAATCGGTATGGAAATTAAAAATGTATTCGCTAAGTGATTAGAACATTTTGCTATATTGAACTTGCTTTTCATTTTAATAAATTTAATAATCACCATCATTTATGATCATAATTTCGAATTAAGTAAGATTGATATATTTTATTTATCACCTAAGAAATATTTCTTATTACGTTTGTGTATATTATCCCTTGGAGATTAAATACAAATCCAATTATATTTGCTATATAAATATTAGCAAACAATTGACCCTAGAGAAATCAAATCATAATATTTCTAGTTCTTATAAATGCAGTTGCTGCGAAATTAATATTGAATTAGTAATAATATTGACTCGGACTAAAAGTTATATTAAAAAATAATAATTGTACGGATATACGGCTTTTCCCCTTTGACACAAAGTAAACAAAACTCTATAATTCTTTATACTTCGACGTGGACAGAGTTTCTTAAAATGTTAGGTACTTGATAATATTAATATTTAATTTAAAATTTTTAAATTACAGTTGAGTTTGTAAAATTTTGTAAGTCAGCATGATATGTTATTTCGACTTTCCAACAAACTTAATTGTGAAACTAAACATATAATCTATCTATTACTTCCATTTTTTATAGTTAAACTAGAATTTACGAGCGAGTAATTGATTTGTGTGATCAATAAGATACAAAATGAAATAAAGTATATTAGTGTTCAACATTTTTAAGGATTGTTTTGTATTTTTTAATTCCTAGTAGAACTTTTGCACCTAGTTACAACATTTTCTATATAAATGTATTTTAGTTCATATATAAATATAAATCTGCGGTTTTCTCTCATTCGGTGGTCGTGTTTTGGTTTGTCAGCAAACTTGCTTGTTTTTTCTGGTTTTGGAGCAATTTTTTTTCTATAATAGTATTCAAAAAGCAATATTGCAATATAAAACGTATGTTTTTCGAAACTAAAATAATTCAATTCTTAGTCTCTACTTTTCCCAAGTTTGGGGATCCCCGTCCTCATATCCCGAGAGTGTTGCCTGAGGCTTCATAGCAAATTCCTTCACTGTCGTTCCGAATAAATCAAAATAGAGTT